CTAGGCTGTAAATCTTAGGAAAGCTGTCCACCACATCTTTCTCCCATGCAGAGGCTGGGAGGTTCGAACCACAGCTGGGTGCTTGCTTACCCCTGCTTCTTGTGTCCTAGCATACAACTGTGTAGACCATTTCTTCAGATACGTATAGGAGGCAGCATTATGGAACTGTTTTTCAAAGTAGGTAGTGGAGTTGCAGACCAAGGTGACCTTTTTATTATAGCTTGCTCTACTCAAACTTTCTTTACGTGAATGACATGAAGCATGAAGCCTTTGGTATAGACAAGTACCCACAAGTCCAGGTTTAAAGTGCCTTTGAATCAAGCTTCCTGTGCAAGCGATTTTCAGCTGGACTGTTTTTCAGCTGAACTTTCTTCAAAAAGAAGGCTCCTTCATGGGTTCCCACCTTTTGGAACCATTATGAGCAATGTTGAAGACTTCCCATAGGAAGCCCGGTTTTTTTTTCTACCAAAGCCCCGGATCCCTTAGCTGAAAAGAAGTCAGTAGTTTGAGCACCAGGCCTTTTTCTCTCATCTCTGGCCACACAGGGCTGGGCCTGAGTCCCTTTTCTGCCCTATGGGGCCACAGTGCAAAGTCAACTGGCTCCTGTAATTCACTCACCACTTTGCCACAGAGTCAATGCCGACTCATGGCAACCTTATAGAACTGCTGCTGTGGATTTTCAAGGCTGTAACTCTTCATGGGAGTAGGAAGCCCAGTCTTTCTCCTGTGGAGTGGCTGGTGGTTTCGAACTGCTGACCTTGCAGATCATAGTCCAACTCATAACCACTCTGCCTCCCAGGCTCCTCTAATGGATCAGTCATGTTTCCGTGCTTCTTGATGCCATCATTTAAATATGAGGTAATGACCTGTCTGTCCCTGAACCTTGCTTGATTGGTTGGCTTTATTGCATCTGAGTCTAACCTTTCTCTTTCCTTCGAGGAAGAGAAGCATTCTTTCTTCTTGAAAAGCATTTTCTTAAATAACTCTGCAGGGCTCTGTACTCAGTCAGCCACGGCAGGACAGGGATGGCTTCTGGATGCAGCTTTGGTGCTCTTGGCCCTTTTAACAGCAGAGGGAAAGAGAAGTGCAGGCGCATGGCACGGGCAGCATTTAACCGTTCTCTGTCCACACTGGGCTTAACCCTGCTGCCTGCTCACTGGGAGGCCTGACCTCTTATTGATCGGGCTTTAGATTCCTGCTCTTTGTTCCCAGGAGCGAACCTGCCTTCTTCCTGCTCTCTCCTCTGCCCTTGTAGCCCTGTGCCCAAACCTGGTCTAACATCAGTTTAGACTGTCTTCCTTTCCTTCTGACCCACTTTCTTCTCATTCGTTCCTTCCTCCTTCCTCTCTCTCCTCCCCCTCCATCCTTCCTTGCTGCTTCACTTCTGACTCAGTGTCCTCTGGCTCTTTCCAGGCCACTGTGCTCGCACAGCACTGTGCCGTAGGACGCCCAGGGCTTGATTCAGGGCTGCCTTAGTACCGGGTTGATCACTTGTGTGAAATATGAGCCTCCCTCTTTTCTGCCATGAATATGCTATTAATTTAAAATGTTTTTTAATGAGGAGCTTAAAGTAAATGTTTTTCTTGAGCTCATCAAAATTATTGCTTAATGGTGACGCACTAGGCTACTCACCACAATGTCAGCAGTTCGGAACTACCCGCCAGCACAGCAGGAGAAAGGCGAGGCTTCTCCTGTAAAGAGCTATGGTCTCGGAAACAAGACCCACAGCGGCAGCTCTGTACTTACTGTCCTGGAGGGTCACCGTGTGTCAGAATCGACTGGAGGCAGTACATCAAGATAAGTGTAATAGAAACTCCTTAGGACAAGATTCACATCCTGAACATTAGAATCTAGTCCCCTTTATGTAGGTATTATCAAGGAAAACTAGTAATTTGCGTGTCTCAGCAGAGCAGTCAGATTCACCCTAAAATATGTAGCCAGTCATCAGATTTTACCTAAAGAGATAGCTGTACTTTGCTTTTTTTCTACCCCAAAGTGTCAGAATTTGAGAGAGAACCCTGGCTCCAGGAATGTAGGTTTTGTGTTTTTAGAGTGGGGGTGTGAGGTGCTTGGGTTTGAGAAGTATCAGCAACACTTCAGACAGACAGGGTCTTCTGTGTGGAGGTGCCAAATCCTGACTCTCTGCCTTGTGTGCTGGAGGGGGAGTTTGACCAGCGTGGAGGCCACAAAACCTCAGGTGCAAAATCTCTGTGAGCCCTGGAGACCCCCTTGCAGAGGGGTCTCGGGGAGGAGACGAGCCAGTCGGGGCGATGTAGCAACGATGAAAAATACAACTTTCCTCTAGTTCCTAAATGTTTCCTCCCCACTCCTACTATCATGATATGAATTCTACCTTGCAAGTCTGGCTAGCCCAGAGCATGTACACTGGTACAGATAGGAACTGGAAATACAGGGAATCCAGGGCGGATGATCCCTACAGGACCAGTGGTGTCAGTGGTGATATTTGGAGGGTAGAGGGAGAATGGGTTGGAAAGAGGGAACTGATTACAAGGAATTATATGTGACCTCCTCCCTGGGGGACAGACAACCGAAAAGTGGGTGAAGGGAGACGTCGGACAGGGCAAGATATGACAAAATAACAATTTATAAATTATCAAGGGCTCATGAGGGAGGGGGGAGCGGGGAGGGAGGGGAAAATTGAGGACCTAATGCCGGGGGCTTAAGTGGAGAGGAAATGTTTTGAGAATGATGAGGGCAATGAATGTACAAATGTGCTTTACACAGTTGATGTATGTATGGATTGTGATAAGAGTTGTATGAGCCCCTAATAAAATGATTTTAAAAAAAGAAATAGAAAAAAAATCTGTGTGAGCCACGAGCAAGTACAGTAGCAAGGAGGTTGACTTACAGAGGCTGGGACTAGTCCACAGTGGAGGTGATTGGGCTGCGAGGCTGGGAGAGGTGGTGAATGGCGGGAGGAGGCTGATTGCCCCTGCATCATTTTGCTTGGACCTGGACAGTCTTAGGTCTTGTATTCCAAAGCAGGATCCCACCTACCCTAATGCCTTTCTGCAAAAGTCTGTTAATTGAGTACGCCACCACCAGCAACATTCCTGTTTCTGTCATTTATAGACTTAATGTATCCGCCGTATTCATAAAATACATTCTCAGTGGAATATTGCCTTTCATCATTGGAATAGTCTTTGTACTTTTCTCACTTGTCATCTGAACTGCCAGGATTTCCCAGGCTAAAAACTTAGGAAAGGAGAGCTATCAGTGCACGTTTTCTATTTCATTGTATGTCTTATCATTACATACATATGGTGCTCAATATATATTTTTTGATTTGTTATTTATTATTTTAATTTGAAACAGAAACTACACTATACCATTTTTAGAACAGAGAAGGAGAAAAAAATTTTCTGACTTATTCACTCAAATGTAACCACTGTTTCATGATGGGCTCCTAACCACAAGGTCCACAGTTCAAAACCATCAGCCACTCCAAGGGAGAAAGGCAAGGCTTTCTACTCCTATATTACCTTATTGGAAACCCACAGAGGCAGTTTTACCCTGTTCAGTGGGGTCACTGTGAGTCAGAATTGACTTACTGGCAGTAAAAAACACAGCTCAAAGTGTTATTCAAGAATGCTTCAAAAGGCTTATGGGAAAATTCCATTATCTTTTAATTCCATTCAGCGTGAACATTTTCCTCATAGTGGTTTGTTGTATGCAACATGGGATTTGAACCTAATTTATTCAGTTCAATTCAGTAAATATCCCTTAGGAGCCACGTTGTCCTGAGCACCATTTTACATGTCTACTGCCTTTCAAAGAAACTACCCATTTGATACCTTCTATAATAATACTATAGTTCTGAAACTTTGTATGATCTTTTCACTGTGCAGAAGAATTAATTTTGTGTGCTATCTCCTCTTGTTCTTCCTTGAAAGAGAAAGAAGCAATGTTTTTCTCTCATCTGTTTTAAACAGCCCCTTTATCCACTTATTCAGCCTATTTATTCGGGGTGTACCACATGCCAGGCACTATTCTAGGTATTGGAGATAGAGCCAGCAGTGAGTGGAACAAAGTCCCTACATTCCAGCAACAGGAGACAATAATGAGTGCGTGGTGAAGGAATGAATGAATGAAAAGATCAGGTGGTAAGTGAAAAAAGACAGGGTGAGAGGCTTGGGGTAGCAGGCTGCTATTTTCGTTAGGACGGGAAGGCCTCTCCCATGGTGACATTTGAGCAGAGACCTAATTGGCGTGAGGAGCAATCTGTGCAGCTGTCCAGGGGAAGATTTTTCCCAGCCAGAGAGATTATCAGGTACAAAGGCCCTGTGGCTAGAGTGGCTTAGAGTTTTCATGGAATAGCAAAGAGCCAGTTAAGTGGGAAGAGAGCAAGGAAAGCTGTTTAGAAGCTGTGGTCAGTGAGCAAGGCAGACTTGGAGGGTCAGCCAGGCCAGCCTAAGGCGTTTCCTGTGAGACGTTTGAACAGGCACACTTCTGTCTCCAGCTGGTTCTGTTCCTTTGGCAAGGCTTCAGTTCGCACCCGTACCACTGTCCGTGAGCCTGGGGCTCTCCCAGACACGCAAAGTACTCGTCATGTGAAGTGGCTCATTCCCTGAGTATGCAGGGAGATCGTTCACCACACCCTACAGTGGGATTTGGTGGTTACTGGTCTGCATTTCTCATTTCGTTATCTCAAGTTCATTGAGGAAATGGTTCCTTTCAAAAAAATAATAACCAAGTATCTTTTTCAAATTGCATTTTTTAAAGGTGTCAAGCTAAGACACTCTCAGTCTTTAGTTATAAAGCATGCTTCAAGTCTGACACCCCGGAAACCCGCTTTGGTTGTTGTGGGTGGGGAACCTAATTATAATCTTTGGTGCGTTTTTCAGTAGTCAGAATCGTCACATGCTGAAGTTCGAGCCCCTCAGCAGGCTTACAACATTCATTTCTGAAAGCCACAGGCTGTTGCAGGTTTCTTGGGGTAACTGATTGCTTTTGTTTTCTTTTTCTCTTTTTTTCCCCAGGAGGAGACAACACAGCTTTCCTAGATTGGGAGAAAAATATGGAATGTACTTTACCGCTGACTGAACACAACCAAATGAACTGTACTGACAGTAGTCTGAAAACCAGCAGTTAGCAGTTTGTTCGGGCTCTAACATTGCCCAGTACTTTCCAGAGCAAATTCACTGTTTACAAGAACTCTCAACCTTACGGAGTTTATAACCTCAAGCTTGGTTTATTTGAAATCATTTCGGCAACAGAGAAGTACCCCAGAGCCCACTGTCCAAAATGGCCATGGATGAGTATTTGTGGATGGTCATTTTGGGTTTTATCATAGCTTTCATCTTGGCATTTTCTGTTGGTGCGAATGATGTTGCCAATTCATTCGGTACTGCTGTGGGCTCCGGCGTGGTGTCACTGAGACAGGCGTGTATATTGGCTTCAATATTTGAAACCACCGGCTCAGTGTTATTGGGAGCCAAAGTCGGAGAGACCATTCGGAAGGGTATCATTGATGTGAACCTATACAACAAAACGGTAGAAACGCTAATGGCTGGGGAAGTTAGCGCAATGGTTGGTAAGTAACTTCATTCTTTATACCAAACAAAGATTTGTCCTTTGACCTACTTTCTCAGTTTTGTCATATCCCAAACTCTACCTTTTCCAAATCCAGTTTAATGTTTCATACTCTCCTATTTTTACTCTACATTTGAATCCGATCCTTTTTTTTTTCAGTACTTACACATCAAGCAATCATTGGTTTTCTCGAATTTTGTGCAGTCTTGGTTGTTTAAATAGGTTTGGTTGTGACTATTTTTCGTAAAAAGCCAGAAAATTATGTTTACAGAATAGTTGTATATAATTTTACAGCGGTTTGAAAGCTAGTAAAGGAATAAAAGTTTCAAGTATATAATTTTGAAGATTTACTTGTGAACTCTCCCATAACATTAATTTAGATTTTTTTCTTAGTTTTTTTTAATCAATTAGGATACAATGTTTTTAAAAATTGGATGTTATAAAACAGTATTTATTACTTTGACTTTTATATTCTCAACTTAAATACTAGGGCAATTGCTAAATGAATCTTAATTAATGCTTATGTTTCTAGAAATTCTAGTCTTCTACAGCATTTTTAATCTTTTTGTTCATGGCCTTTGTTTTGATTCTCTGATTCTACGTCTAGTACTCCATTTGTTATATTTGTTTTGTTTTCCTGCCAGAAACTATGTGTTATCTGTTTTGATAGTATGAGCTTTGCTTGGTGTAGTCTTAAGTTGCCTAAATGAAAAATAAGGCCATGGTAGCACTTTGGGTCAGATGTTGGACTTGTAACTGCAAGATTGGTGGTTGAAACCCACCAGCTGCTCCTGGGGACTAAGAAGCCGTTGTCTGCTTCTGTAAGGACTCATAGTCTCAAACGAGGATCACTATGAGTTGGAATCATCCACTCGAAGGCAGTGGGGTTTTTTCTTGGGGGGGGGGTTGTTTTGTGTTTCAGATGGAGAGGTATTGAGGTAAGTGAAGTAAGTTAATAAGCAGATTTACTTTTTGTGCAGTATAATTTCTCCATTTCCCCAAGGCAGCCACAAACCTGAAGCACTGTTAGGACATGTCCCTCACTGCCCTTGTTCCAGATGAAAGAAAATCTAGGCAGGAATGTGTTAAGTGCAGCTGACAGGACTCTTTCTCTGCTTGCCTCTAGGGAGAGCTGACATCACAGCAGAGCTGATCTATATGGGTAATTTGGTTAGGGTGAAGAGGGTTAGAGAGGAATTCTACCACCTGCTTTCCACAGGATAAATCCTTTTGTAGGAAGAGTCCTGCAGTAGGAGGTAAGATACCGATGTCCCAAGAACACAGTGCCCAGTCCACAGTCCCTAGCTACTTATTATGTCACTGGCATTTCCTGAGCAGCCACACTGGAGATTATTTGCCACATTTAAGGTGGCCATCATTGTTTTGCTACCACAAGTTAGGTGGAGGCATCTCATTGGAAGCAGACCACTGTGCTAAGGTATTAATTTCATTAAGCAAAATAGGCTGGAGATACATGTTCATGGTTCCTTTTTTGTGATCATTTTGTGTTTAAAACACAGCAAAAAAAATTCTCGTATGAAGATAGCAATGATTTGTAAAACTCACCTTTCATCATGGTGACAGATCACTGAGACACCTACTCAAAGGAAAGGGGCATTGAGATTTTTGATTGAACCAGGGTGATGGGCAAGAAGTGTTGAAAGTGAGAGAAATAAAGAAGCACACTGATAAAGTGTTTGTTTTCTTTTTCAATTGGGTAAAACTTTTGAGGAAAGAGCTTTGCTAGCATCCGCTGAGGACCTGGGTCAGACAGAGAGCTTTGTGGACTGAGTTTCGTGTCACTGTTCACTTTTCATGTGGACAGGATGGCTCGTCCAGTGTCTCTTCTGCCCTAGCCTGGCCTCGGGTGCTTTACTGAAAGAATGCAGGCTACTTACCGCAACGAGAATTTCGGTTTACCAAAGCAATTTGAGGTTTTGCTTGAATAACTTGATTATGTTTGCTTTGGTTTCTGACTTCTAGTGTGTGGTTGGATGAATCTCAAAGACCACTTTGTGGGGAATGTGTATGAGTTACCTAGATTTTAAAAATTGAGCTCTTTGCAAATGGCAATTTTGTAACTATGAGGTAGTAGCATAATTATTATTATTGGCCCAAACCAGTGCTGATTCTGCCCACATGCCTGAATTCACTCAGTCTTCCTTTCCTAAATGCAACATCCATTTCTTCTTCTCCCTCTTTCCCTGCCGTTTCCCATTCTCACTCTTCTCCTTCACCATCTCCTCCCCAGGTCCACGGGCCTCTGTGCTGCTGATAGGGTCAACTTCTTTACGTGGGACTCCGCACCTCGGCTCTAAAGCAGGCGTCCTTCCAATGTTCTGAAAACCCACTCTGAACTCAAAGCATTTGGCATTTTCTCAAAGCGCCCATACAACATGCAGCACCCTAAGAAGCACACTGTCTCCCTAAAGTGTCGACACTAGGACCTGTGAACTGAGCCTCCCTGCCACTGTTCCCGTTCTGTCTTCTCTGGTGTTCCCTCCTTCACTGCAACCCTGAACCTGGGCTCCACCATTTCCCTCATCTTCTGAGGAACCATTGCCCAGAGATGCACATTCTCTCCGCCTCCTCCCCCCTGCCCCACCCCCCTCCATTGCCTCTTAGGTCTTGTCGTGCACAATTTTCGTCTTTGTGGGATGCCACTATTGTACATGACAGTGTCTCTTTCTTATTTCCACCACTCTTCTTCATGTAATGTGTAATCCCATTCACCTTCACAAATCCGGCCTCTCACCACCACTACCCCAAGCCTCCCCCACAAACACTGTCTCTACGTCTCTGCTTCCAGGGGCTTCTTCCCTGTCCTCCACTGTCTGTCTCTCTTTCCGCTGTCCCCAGTGCACTAGGCCCCTGGCGCATATTTCCTCCCTTCCCCCACAAACTCTCCTCCACCAGGATATACTTTGTAAAGTCAGCCAGAGAAAAGGTAGCTTTCACGAGAGAATCTCATGGTCTGAATCTAGTCGGGTGAGTTGGTAACCATTCTCTGCTTACAACTTCAGATGGGTTTAATTGTTGTAGAACTATAAATCATAGTTTATTTTCGGGTTCTGACCCTACGCCTTGGAACATGCTCCAGCCTCTGGTGTTATTTTTAAAGCAACTAGACCCTGAGGAGGCCGGGCCTCAGATGTGAGGGCCTAAGAATCTGGCCCCGGGGAAGCCTGGCTGCCACCATGGAGCTGTTGCTGGTTTGGTTACAAGAGGCCGGGCCCTACTCCTCCCAGCACACTCTGGGCATGGACTTGGGGTCACAGCCCGTATGGCTCGAAGGTCAGCACGCCCAGGGTCACCGGAGCAGCTGTTGGCATTACTTCATGAGAGGGCACCTGTACAGCCCTTGGTGGCCCTTTTGGAACACAGATAGTTTTTGAAGGACATGCCAGGGGTCTGTTCAAAAGTGTTGTTGCTTGCTGCTGCTACCAAGCAACCAGATGTCCAGAATTAACACTTGGGATTAATAACGCGCCCTGCTTATCAGCCAAGCCCTTTGTTCCCATCTAGTTCTGTGCCAGCTTCTCAACAACTGTTTCTGAAAGTGATCTGTCCCAGCTGAGGCTTTAAATACTGACTGCAAGACTTGATCTGCTTATGAAAATACTCTCAAGTGAACTAGAAAAACATGAAGTCCGGAAAAGAGTGGTAAAAGTGAGGGAGAGTGTGAACACAGTGCCAAAATGAAGGGGCCCGCCTAACGTGGAAGGTATTAAGGGCACTTAGGGCATGGTCTGGAGCTGATGCCTACTTGGGGTCAGGTGTCTCCCTAATTCTTACATGGCCAACATGTGACTATTCTTACTCTGTGACCACACTGGCACGGCCATAACGCTTTGCCAGTGTGTTATGTTTCCTGTGTTGTTTTGCCAGCGTGTTGTTTCCTGTGTTGTTTTGCCAGTGTGTTATGTTTTCCTGTGTTGTTTTGTTTTGCCAGTATGTTATATTTCCTGTGTTGTTTTGTTTTGCCAGTATGTTATGTTTCCTGTGTTGGTAGAACCTTTAATCTCTTGCTTGATTTTGGCCAAACTTCATGCCAAATGGGTTTATCATCATCACCCTCACCTAGACTTGACAAAGGCAGTTAATGACCAATATCGGGACACTTCCCTTCAAATACAGAATCATCATTATCCCTTCGGTGTTGAAGAAAAATCCCTTGAATAGAGTTGAGTGCTTTTTCTCAGGACTGTAGCTCGTTGTTAAGAAACATTCCATTAAAAAACTAGACCCGTGAAGATGTTATGAACAACCGTGCGCATTTCTTCCTCTAATGCAATTGGAGACCCTGTACTCTGTATCTGATCTCCGCTCCCCCCGCCCCCCTTTTCTCTCTGCAGGTTCAGCAGTTTGGCAGTTGATTGCTTCCTTCCTGAGACTCCCAATCTCAGGGACCCACTGCATTGTTGGTTCTACTATAGGATTTTCACTGGTTGCAATTGGTACAAAAGGTGTGCAGTGGATGGAACTTGTCAAGATTGGTAATTGACATTTTCTTTTACCTATAAGAGGAAATTTACATTTTCTAGAGTAAGTTTTATTTAAAGGCTACTTTTGTAACATATTTTTCTTGAAAATGTTAAAGTTTAGGAGAACTGTGTGGATTGTGCTTGTTCCCTCAAAAAGTCTATTGGTGGAATTATAAGCGGTTACACTCTTTCCCATGGTTACATCGTCATCCGGCTTTGGAATTCAGTGTACAGGTTGTTCGCGGGCAGCAATGAAATCTTTTGAATGAAATCAACCTGCAGATCAGAGAAAATTTAGGGCCAAATGAGGAAAATATCTTCAGTGTCCAAGAGTCAGAGTTCATGGTCAAGCAGAACCACAGAATGAGCTGACCAGTTGACCTCACTGCACTTGAGAGGTTGTCCAATCTGCCCCTGAGAGAAAGCAGTCTAGTGTGCCTCCTGGGGGGTTTGACTGCCCATCAGGGAACAAGATGTAGGTGGGGACCCATTTGTGGAGGTCTAACCATCCTACTTCCTGGTTCTGACTTCTAGCAAGAGGCAACTCCATTCAACCTCTTAAAGACGAGCCCAATCAAGGTGATAAATCCTCGTTCCTCCCACCTCTATCCATTCAGCAGAATCAGTGAGTCAGTCCTCTGTCAAACTGTATTCCTCACCTGCCAAGGAAAAGAATCACAGACTGCCAGGAAAGTCAGCTTGTACCCCAGACGTCGGAACAGTGGCCCTTAGCTCCCACCCTTTTAGAATTACCCCAAGGGAGCAGTTTATAAATACTACTACCCAAACCCCATTCCAAAACTTTTCAATTATAATGTTGGCCATGGGGCAAGAGTTAACCTACTTTTTAAAGCCCCCCAAACGGTTCCAATGTACAGCCAAGGGTGGAAACTGTTAGAGTAAAGGCTGCATGTTCCCAAATTCCCACAGTTAGAGATAAAAAATGATGATGCCCACCTAGACTCAGAAAATAGAAAGAAAGGTGTCCCACCTTTTAGGTACACCTTGTGTGGTTACATATTGGGTGTTGCCGACTGTTCACTGGCCATGTCTCCAGTTACAGGGGAATCACCGTCAGTGTGTCTGAGGGTGGTTATGATGATGTGAAGGTCAGCTTCGCCAAGGGTTTCTTAGGTGCCTAATTAAGAGAAATGTTTTCGAGAATATGTGTGCAAAGGGAAGTCAAAAGGTATTGCTACAAAATTATAGAAACATTGAATGTGCAAAAATGTCAAAATGGAAAGTTGTTGTTTCTCCACATATCTCCCATCTAGGTCTAGACCCTTTTGTTTAAGTTGCTGTTGTGATTTAGGTGAAGGCTTACAGAGTAGGTTGTAGCTTTACAGTCAACACTTTATCCACAGTCTGATTTAACTCACTCCTGATTTAACCACACCCTCCCTGTGCTTCCTGTGTCCGTTCTTCTTGCTTAACCCTCTGAAGTTTGTCCTTGATCACTGCTGCTCTTGTTACCATAAATAGTTGATGATTCTAATGCAGAGGTGAATTTAATTCCAAACCCGAAGGGGAGGGGCCATAATCTTGGGGTCCCACCAGTCTGTAGCTGGTCAGTAAGCCTGCTCTCTTTTATGATTTTGTCTCTTATTTTCCCCACTCTGTCAAGATCTTTCTAATGCAGACCTTTTCAGAGCAGTTGGTAGCGGTAGCTCAGCAGTGAACCATCTGCTCTTTGGACTGTGGAGCCTGATGTTTGACTGATCCATTGACTGAATGTTTCCATGTGTCTTTTGATTGTCATCGCTTTTCTGTCCTCTGGATGGGAAAGACCAACAGTTGCACCTCAAGTGGCTACTCACAGCTTCTAAGATGCCAGGCAATACAAACCATATTAGGCTGTGGACTATATTATGTCACCTTCTGAAGGTGACATACTACCCCAAATAATCCTGTGTCCTTAGATTTACCATACATGAAAACAGCCATTTGGCACCCCTAAGGGAATCAGTTCATGTTTCTTTTAAATGATCTTTGAGGTTTGGGAACCTAAGTCTTTGAAGGGAGAAGATCAGAGCTAGGATGGGTAGGATGACATTCCAGGATAAAATCCAGGTGCACTGTTGTGATGGGAGATGAAAATTCCTAGGTGCAAATTTTCTGGCCTTTTTCTCACCAAGGCACCTATTGATTTTATTTTGTTTTCAAACTTTTTCATAATAAATCCCTGGGATTATCCTGTGCCCTTACAAAAAAATCTACCAAAATTACCTGCTTGGATTCCCTAAAGGTGATTGCTGTAATCTTCTAAGGTGACCTCTCTGCCTTGAATGTAACTGGCCTGGCAGATTCTCCTGGAAGCCTTTTTTTTAAAGGCACCTTAACAAGACTAAGACAAGTATATTACTGCAACCATACATTGTTGGCAGTGGCATTTTTAAACATGGTTTAGGCTAAAGTTCTGCGTGTATGAATCGGGGGCACCACCCCCATCCCTAGTAGCAGTGCTTTTTTGACTTACCCTCTTGTGCATTTTTGTTGCATATCACTGTATTATATAGCCCTAACTTTATAGAATTTTAACGTTCGTTAATTTTTTTTAATTATTCAGTTGCTTCTTGGTTTATATCTCCACTGTTATCTGGTTTCATGTCTGGCGTGCTATTTGTGCTGATCAGAATCTTCATCTTAAAGAAGGTAAGTAAAGCTGTTAAATCTTATTAAATGTTTGAGTTAGCTTAGTTCTGCTCAATAGAAGTGGAGAGTTAGTGGAATAGAGGAATAATTGTGTTTTCACATTGTTAAGGCATTAGAATCAGATATTATTATATAAGTACCCATAAACAGTCAAGATAATTACCTATGGAATCTCCCAGAAGTCAGCATTACAGAGCGTGTTTCTTGGCTCTGTGACTGAGTTCATTAATCAATACTCCCAGACACTATGTTCAAACCTCAAAAGGAAAAGGTAATTATTTCCTGAATGTTACACTGAATGCAATCGGACGGTGCTAAGATTTATAAAATGAGCCAGTTAAAACATCTAGGGAATTTCCTTATCCAAATGTGGAGATGTTTCTGATTTTTTAATGGAAAAGCAAGCTTGAAACACTGAATTAATTTGAGAAAATTATAAAAAAAAATAAATCTATTGGGTATGCATTTTACCTAAACAAATTCCAGTTAAAATTTATTGAGATAAATATTCTAGAACGAGATTTGCTTGGGTTTTGTGTTGTTGTTTTTGCTTCATTTGACTGGCAAGGGAATGTTGTAGCTTTTTATAATTTAAAAAACTTGCCTTTGAGCCTGGTGAAAACCTCCCTCAGCATCAGGGATGTGCCTTCTTCCTTTCACCTGTCTGCTGGCTTGAAAATATGACGAGTTTCTTGTAGGACTGCCTGCTGAGCTGTCTACTGAAGGACTCGTTTCTCACCACTCCTTCTGCTGGGCCTTACTTACCTTTGTTCTTTCGAGTACCTCCCAAGTCCTACTTAACTCTCCTGTCTCCTCCCACAGCACTCTGGGCTTTCTCATCAACTCACTCCTCCTGTTTGTGGAGGTGTGGGGCTTGCTGATTGTCTATCTGCCATTTGACAGTAAGATCTGTCTGGTTTATTTTTATATTCTCTTGCCCAGCATTGTGCTGAACATTTCAAAGATACTTGCTGAAGATTTGTTGGGACGGAGTGGTGGATACTTTGGATGGATGGGGGAGGGGGGGAGGGAGGGAGGGAGGAGAGATGGATGGATGGATGGATGGATGGATGGATGGATGGATGGATGGTAAGCTAGAAGGAAGAGGGACTGGGAGGAATGAAGGTAAGCCTCAACAAGACATTTGTGATTTGAATGTTAATCAATTATTTGAAGAAAATTAAGTGATTCAGGTTAAAAAAAAAAACACCATAAACTCGGGATTTCCCCCTGTAGACATTTGTGTTAGACAGGGTTCTCTAGAGAGATAAAACCAAATTCCTGATAATTTAATATATTTATTTATAAAGATAATTAGATATATAACGAGAAATGAACTGTTAACTCATATACAGATAAATATATAATACAAGAAATAAATAGTTAAATTAGAAAGCACTACAAATGGCTTAGTGCAACTCACGTCCGTGAGAGAAAGTTGAGAGACTAGCAGTCCTTCAAGTCTCTGTCTGATGCCAGATCTTCCTCTATTTGTAGAGAGAGCTAGGCTATGTCAGCACAGCAGCCAATCACAAGGCAGGTCACCAACCGCCAGTCCCCAGCTCCAGAGAAGTCTTAAAGGAACCTCAACTTACAGCAACACAGTCCACAGGCTAGGCGTCCCACAGGCTCTGTAGCCTTTAAATTGGGCACAGAACAAGCAAGGCAGCCGCACACTGGTCCGACGATCCCAGAGTGAGAGACAAGAAAGGCAAGGCTCACCAAGCCATTTATCTCTCTGCCCTTCAGTCAATCCCACCTGCGTTTATCAGCCAGGCTGGCACAATAAACTGTCTCAACATTCTTGGGTTGGAAGTCTTTCTTTAGCAACTCTCATCACCCAGGAAATGCCTTGGTGGAAATCAAAGGTAATAGGCAATTGACCATCCTAATGTGTTTCGTTTTCTGTTCTGCTTGGCTCTTTTCATGTTGATACACTCACTGTAGGACAGGGTACAACTGCCCCCGTGGGTTCCTGAGACTAACTCTTGATGAGAGTAGAAAGTCCTGTGTTTTTTCCTCCACACAGCACCCGCGGTCTCAAACTGTTGATCTTGTGGTTTGTAGCCCAATGAGTAACCCACTACACCACCAGGGCTCCTCTTTGCAATCCTCTTTTCATGCGGTCATTACATCACTGCTCTCTGGTCCCTGCCCGTGTTGTGTGTGTTTGAGTCGATTCTGATTCATAGCCACCCTAAGGACAAGGTCGACCTGTCCCACGCGGTTTCCTGAGCTGTAATCGTTACAGAAGCAGACTGTCACTTCTTTCTACTTCAGAGCCGCAGGCGAGTTCGAACTACCAACCTTACAATTAGCAGCCAAGCCCTCGACCCATGCACCACCTGGGTTCCTTCCCTGCCCGTTAGTCACCATATGCTGTAGGACGCACCCTGGCGGGCTCGCACACAATTGAATCACTCCCTGTGCCTGCCATCTCTGTTCTTTTTGCTTCCTCACCATCCACGGCTCTCGGGGACCTTCCAGAATAGATTCCTGAGGAGCTGCACTCTGCTGCAAACACGCTCCATTTCCCCACATCGTCATTCGACAGTCGGTGTTTTTGAGTCAGTCTTTACTTTCCTCTCTTTTATTGATTTATTTTCATCGCTTTTAGTGGCATTTAATCCACATATCACACAATTCAATAGTTCGATCATATCAAGAAGAGTTGTACAGTCATTACCACAATCAATTTTAGAACACTGTCTCCTCCCGCCATCACCATTAGTCTTTACTTTTCTATAGGTCTATAACTCATGTCAATTTTTAGACCTAATGTACCTTTTCTCACAGAAAGGTTCATGTGAACATACAAGTGTTCGATTTAAGGGAAGTCACAGCAGTGCCTAACATAGTAAATAAATGAAGCCTCGTGTTCTTTTTTTAAATTTTTCCGTGTTGAAGTCTCAGTATGACACCGTGTGAAGAGATATTGATAATCATAGCACAGAGCTTTGGTTTATCTGTTTCTGTATACTCGACTGATGTCAAATCTAGATGTGATTCAGTAGTTCAGGGTCATCTGGTTGTTTCTGGGCACCCTTGGCGGGCACAGTCTCCCAGGGCTTAGACAAGTGAGCCCCACTGGATTTGAAGCAAAGCCCTGGACCGGAGTGCCCTGCAGCTGACATAAACTGATAGTTCTTTCTTTTTCTAAATCTGACATCAGCTCATGTGACTCGAGTGCTCTAATGGGTCTGCTGGTCACAATAGTGGGCCCTTTCAGGCAGCATGTGTTTAGAACTGGTCCATGCTGATGTGGTTTCTGCATCCCACGGGGTGGGGAAGTGGCTCCACCAGGGTCTTGGGCGACTTTGCTGAAGTGTGTTCTGTACTACTTGATCTGTGTTAACCCCAGATACTCCTGGGATCCTCACCTTCCACTTTATCTCATTACTCCGCAGGAGGACCCTGTTCCCAATGGCCTTCGGGCACTTCCAGTGTTCTATGCTGCCACTATCGCGATAAATGTGTTTTCCATCATGTACACAGGGGCACCAGGTAAGAGCTCCCTGGGGAGTTAGGCCACAGTGTGCCCAGTGTATCTCCCACACTACTGGATTATTTGGGCTTTCTACCCCGGGGCTGTAAATGTGCTCTTCGTGGTCATCATGGAGAAAGGAGCACAGCAAACGGTTAAGGCGCTTGGCTGCTAACTGGAAAATTAGGCACCTCAGAAGAAAGGCCTGGTGATCTGCAACATCAGCCGTGAAAACCCTGCGGGACACAGTCCTACTCTGACACGCCGGGGCTGCCCTGAGTCGGAACTTACTTGACCTTGACAGCAGCTGCCCGGTAGAAAGAGTGGTTTACCCCCTCACTTGTTCTGAATACTCAAGTGATAGGTGTACAATGAAGGCCACAGACTTTCAAGTTAAACACAAACAAACATGAGTCCCCATTCTGACATTTCCCCAGCTGTGTTGTTTTAGCAGCTAGCTCACCCTGTAAGTCTCAGAAGGGGGGTGTTGAGTCAACACCCCCTTCACTGAGCAGTGGTGCAGCCCGGGAGAAGGCTGTGGCTCCAGACATAGACCCTCAGCTAAGCAAGGCCCCACCTGCTGTGCGTGCATCAGCAGTACAGCTGTGGAAACTGATGCGCTTGGCACCATAGCCACAAACAGGCTCCCTGGAGACAGTCGGGCCAATAAGCCCAGGGACAAGCAGCAAGCATTCTTTGAAGAGACTGATGACAGTGGTGTTTGGGGGAAAGCTGCTCATTTCCCCCACATTCTGAAATTCTGTGCACTTTCTGAAGGGATTGGAGTTTTAAGTGGTTTCCAAAGCGTCATTATTTTTACCCTGTGGCTCAATGGAGAAGGAATCCTAAATACAGAATTTTAAATGCTCACATTTCAATATTGATGAACTAGTAACAGCCTCCTATTTTACCTATGAGTTAGTATAGAAGGCCTCCTCCACCTCTCTTTGCGAGATTCACCTCTGACAGCCGGATCCTGAAGCCATCCATCAGTGTGCTGGTGGTGCTGGTCGTGATTGGGTGCCATTGAGTGCCATTGAGTCGGTTCCAACTGCCGGCCGACCCTTGGTACAACAGAACAAAACACCGACGGGTCCTGTGCCATCCTTGCCACTGTTCTTACCTTTGACCCCGCTGTTGCAGCCACTATGTCAACCCATCTTGTCGATGGCTTGCCTCTCTCCTTTACCTAGCCTGGTGGTCTCACCAATCCTTGCCTCTAAAGAGCACTCTGGCTATACTTCTTCTGCCTCTAAAGGTCAGTTTTTCCCTTTAGCAATTCATGGTATTTTCAGTATGCTTCTCTAGCCTAATTCAGATGTATCAATTCCTTTTTCGGTCTTCCTTATTCATTGTCCAACTTTCGCATGCATGTGAGGCCATTGAAACTGCCATGGTTTGGGTCAGGCGCATCTTAGTCCTCTAAGTGGCCTCCTTGTTTTTTCAACATTTTAAAGAGGGCTTGTGCAGCACGTGCTATACAGTGCCAACAGATAGGCTAGTTGTTTCATTTTCTTTTAATGTCTTTTCTATATAAGGATTAATAGTTCAGTTATAAACAGTATATGACAGAAACCATCCCTTTCTTTGTTCAAAACACAACATTTCTGCACGCCGAGTGCCACCTTGTATGTGTGGCATCCGAGAGCTGAACAGGAAAGGAGGGCAACCCCCGATAGCCCAGCCCCTCCTGGGTTGAGTGAGTTACTGGGACTTGCGGAGGCTTTTCCTAGAAATGGACAGTGGTATAAATGAAGGCCGTTTTTTGAACTACACTCCTGTTTTACTGTACACCCGTTCTAATTTCTTTTGGGTACCTGTTTGGAATGTCAGAAGAAGAAAACAGTGTAGACTTTAGAAAACAGTATTGGCTTTCTTCTATAGTTAGCCTATTATTCCATCTCTTTATTCTTTCACTTCTTCATCTGTGACGGATTGAAATTATATCCCCCAAAGATAAGGGATGTGAATTCTGACCCCTGTGCGGGTACCAGAAAGAACTGGTCTGCATGGAACCATTTCAGGAGGTGGCATTAATCAAGAATAGATGGCATCAAAGGAAGCTGTATTAAGGCATTGACAACACGGTTCCCAAAATTGATGGAATATCAATTGAACGGATAGATCCAACGTACAGACGTAATGCTGGATGCCAAGCACTTTGGAAAACAACTCGTTGGCCTACAGGTGGAAAGAGACCCATCTTTATAGCCATTCAAAAGAATGCAGAAATTATCGAACACTATTGTTAATACCACACAGAAATAAAATTTTGTTGAACAGAATACAAAAATGGTTACAGAACAGCATTACGGGGACAAGGAACTATCAGAAATCCAAACCAGATTCAGAAGAGGATATGGAAGAAGGGATGTAAGTGCTGATGTCAGCTGGATCTCAGCTGAAACAGAATACCAGGAAAATGTGTTTATGCACAAGCATTTAACTGGATTATAACAAGCTGTTGCAAAGAATCACAATTTTAGAACACCTGCATTTGCTCGTGCAGAACCTGCACATCATCAGTCATTCATACAGAACAAGGGGTACTGTGTGTCAGGAATGGTGTGCATCGGGGATGTCTCCTTTCTCTTGCTTTTTAAATTTTATTTTAATCATTTTATTGGGGGCTCATACAGCTCTTATCACAATCCAGACATCCATCCATTGTGTCAAGCACATTTGTACATTTGCTGCCATCATCATTTTCAAAACATTTTCCTTCTACTTGAGCTCTTGGTTTTATCAACTTCTTATTTTTCCCCCTCTCTCCCTCATGAACCCTTGATAATTTATAATTTTTTTTTCATGCCTGCACTCACCAATGTCTCCCTTCACCCACTTTTCTATTGTCCATCCCCCGGGAAGGGGGTTATAGGTAGATCATTGTGACTGGTTCCCCCTTTCTCACGCCACCATCCCCTGCCCCTCCTGGTATGGCTACTCTTATGATTGGTTCTGGGGGGTTTATCTGTCCTGGATTCCCTGTGTTTCCAGCTCTTATCTGTACCCATGTACATGCTCTAGTCTAGCTGAATTTGAAAGGTAGAATTGGGGTCACGATAGTGGGGGAGAGGAAGCATTAAAGAACTAGAGGAAAGTTGTATGTCTCATCAGTGCTATACTGCACCCTGACTGGCATGTCTCCTCCCTGCGACCCTTCTGTAAGGGGATGTCCAATTGTCTACAGATGGGCTGTGGGTCTCCAATCCACACTCCCCTCATTCATAATGATATGATTTTTTTTGTTCTTTGATGCCTGATACCTGATCCCATCAACGCCTCATGATTACACAGGCTGGTGTGCTTCTTCCATGTGGGCTTTGTTGCTTCCCTGCTAGATGGCTGCTTGTTTAACTTCAAGCCTTTAAGATAGTTGGGCACCATCAGCTTTCCTCACCACATTTACTTATGCACCCATTTTGTCTTCGGCGATCATGTTGGGAAGCTAAGCATCACAGAATGCCAGGTTATTAGAACAAAGTGCTCTTGTGTTTCGTGTTGGGAAGCTAAGCATCACGGAATTCCAGGTTATTAGAACAAAGTGTTCTTGTGTTGAGGGAGGACTTTAGTAGAAGCCCAGTGCAGGGACATCTTTCATCACACGTATACAGTCTGTCTGCTGAGCAAATGATTCAAGAAGCTGGACTATAAGAAGAAGAATGTAACAACCCATGATACGCAGATGGCACAATCTTGCTTGCTGAAATTGAAGAGGGTTTGATGCACTGACTGATGCATATCCTAGAATACAACCTGCCGTGTGGGTTGCACCTCAACAGAAAGAGAACAAAATTCCTCACAACTGGATCAGTAAACACCATCGTGATAAACGGAAAGACTGAAGTTGGTAAGGATTTCATTTTACTTGGATCCACAGTCCACACCTGTGAAAGCAGCAGTCTAGAACTCAAAGTATTATGTTAACAAATCTGCTACACAAGACCTATTTAAAGTATTAAAGAGCAGTGGCAGCACGTTGAGGACTAAGGTGCGCCTGTCCCACGCCATGGTATTTTCTGTTGTCTCATTTGCATGCGAAAGTAGACAATGAATAATGAAAATAGAAGAATTGAATTACGGTATTGGCAAAGAAAATTAAACGACATGGACTGTTTGAACAAACAGATCTGTCTTGGAAGAAGTACGGTCAGACTACGCCTTAGAAGTAAGGATGATGACACTTCCATCCTTTGGACATGTTATCAGCAGAAACCAGTCCCTGGAGAAAAGACATCATGCTTGGTAAAGTACAAAGGTCGGCGAAAAAGTGGAAGACCTCCAAGGAGTTACATTGACACAGCAGCTGCAACGATGCACTGCAACATGGCGAGGATTGCGGATGGTGCAGGACCCAGGCAGTGTTTCGTTCTCTCAAGCATCAGGTTGCTGTGAGTGGAAACTGGACCAAATGAGTTTCCTTTGTTCAACTAATGAGGCACTCTTGGTGTGGGGTGCATCTTAAACCAATCTCTTTTGAGATAAGAAAGATCAGATTAAGCAAGCAAAAAGATCTGAGAGATAATAAATACCAAGCCACATAAAAATACTCATAGAGTAGTAGCTGAGGACCTTCCCCAGAGCAAACAGCGAGAGAACCCTCTCCTAGAGCTCGTGCCATGAATGCAAACTTCCAGCCTCCTAAACTGTGAGGCAACAAAGATAGAAGATGCAGAACCAAAATCTGGACCAGGCAGTCTGGTCCAGAGCCCAGGGCTGTTGTTGCCAACCCTATACTGCAGCGTGAGATAGTGTTGCCAGAGCCCATAAGGTTACAGGTGCTGACAGCAGTTACTACTCACCCTTAATTAGTTCCTTCCCTTGACTTCCTTTAAGAAATGCTTTCTTTGCCAGTATGTTTGGGACATAGGCTATAAACTAGCGGGCTTCAAAAGTTTATGGGGAAATGCAATTAAAAGATGATAGCTCTTTCCCATGATCTCCTTGAAGCCTTTTGTATCGTTCATACATACTGAATACACTAGCTGAATACACCACCGCTCCTTTAATTAGGGACTTA